GGTAGGAAAAGGAAGAGGAGAGGGGGAGAGGGAGGGGGGGAGGGAGAGAAAGGGAGAGGAGAGGGAGGGGAGATGGGAGAGGAGAGGAAGGGGAGAAAAAAGAAAAAAAGAAAAAAAAGAGGGGGGGGGGGGGGCTCCGTGCGCCTGCCGGAAGCGCTTCAGCTGGAGGCAGAGCACGTTTGGCAGCCGCTCGATCGACATCTGCTTGGACGCGTCCTGCGGCCGCACGGCGCGGGCATGTCATGGACGTGTCCCGGCCGCGCGATGGCCTCGTGCGCGTTGACTCGTGGACGCGTGTGCGTTGTGTGCGTGGGGTAGCGTCTCCTGCAGCGCAGCGCAGCTGCTGCACCAGCAGCGCTCCTCGGACAGCAGCTGCTCCTAGGGTTCGGGTACCGTGGGGGTAGGGGATGGGTGCGGGTACCGTGGGGGTAGGGGAGGGGAGCTGCTCCTCGGTCGTGAAGGCGCGGAGGCAGGCCTCCAGCGACTCAGCCGCCCCGCCGCTCGTGCCCGCCGCACCGCCGCCGCCGGCCGCGGGGCCGGAGGCTCCCGGTGCAGTCGGGCTGCTTCCGCGCCCGAGCTCAAGGGAGATGTCGAAGAAGTCCTTCCGATTAGGGGGGGGGGTGGGGGGAGGTGTGGGGGTGTGTGGGGAGATGTGGGGTGGTGTGGGGAGGTGTGGGGAGGTGTGGGGAGAGGTGGGGAGGTGTGGGGAGGTGTGGGGAGGTGTGGGGAGATGTGGGGTGGTGTGGGGAGGTGTGGGGAGATGTGGGGTGGTGTGGGGAGGTGTGGGGAGATGTGGGGAGGTGTGGGGAGATGTGGGGAGGTGTGGGGAGATGTGGGGAGGTGTGGGGAGGTGTGGGGAGGTGTGGGGAGGTGTGGGGAGATGTGGGGAGACATCAAGGCCCCGGCGAGCGCCAATCGGGTGAGCACAGCCTCGGATATTCTCAAACTTGTGTGGGTGGGATCCTCACGGGAGGTCGGCGGACCATCGCGAGTGTCCTCATTGGCAGCCCGGGTGGGGCGGGCGGG